AAACGACAGGTAAACGCTCATCATCGCTATCCTCAGAATCCTCCAATAATTTGTATCGTTCGCGATGCAGTCCTCGTTGAGGAAATGTCAATCCATTACCATCACTGCAATACGTTCAATCATCTTATCCACGATCACAAAATCTATCCCATTCACCGTAAATCCCATAAAAACAGTTTTGCAAACTACTACGATCAAACGCAAAAATGCATCTACCAAGATACCAATAACTCCCAGCAAAGTTTCAAGAATAAAATTTTTCAGAAATCCATCCCAATCAATTCATTCCAGCAAATAATCGTTTCATTCCACAACCCACAACATAATATATGTTGGTGCTGTTGTTCGAAATTTCCTTTCATTGACAGTTACCTTGGAATGAAACTATCTATTTGACTATTGAAAAACGAAACGAAATAAAACAAAAAGCGAATAAAAAATGACCATTTCTAAAGCACTGAATGAACAAAACGATAGATAATAGCTGTACATATACACATTTATTTCAATTGATTAGTGTAAGTAAATGCGTCAGAGATTAGTAATTTTCCATCTCTTAATCAGTAATACAATGGACGGGTATTGAGCATACGGTTTGGTGTGTGTATTATCTGCTGTTGTTCGGTTACTACCATTTTTATGCAGAAATATTTGACATATAACCATCACCCCACACACACACAAATAAATAATGATAACAGCGATGACAATTAAGCATTTGAAGATATTGCATTATTTTGTTGGTGGTGTGTAACTTCCCTTATATTCATCGGAAATTCAAATCCATTACCACAGCTGAATATAGTTTAACTTACTTTCATTCCTCGTCTTTACAAATCACCACAATTTCAGTGGTTCTATTCTCTTTCTAAGCATCTCGTTCAAAAATAATTTTCAACTGTTGCATTTCGGAACGTTTCATCAAGCAACAATAATTCGCTAACAACCAGTTGAATAATGCAGCAACTTATGTTGCTTACAAATATCGAATAATAACCTAATCTTCTTTTTTAAAAAATTAATGTTCTGAAGTCAAATGATCTTCAAAAGGAAGAGACAAGAGCAGAGTGATCAATTGATGATGATTCGTAAAAGATTTGAAGAACAGCACCAACATATCACCCATCTCTTGATGAACTCAAACGTCATTATAAATAAACAAACAAACAAAACAAATAAAGTAACAAAACAAAATCGAATACGCAACGTACGATGAGAAAATCGGCAACAACCACAGAACACGATTGCGACCGAATACTTGCTGGAAATTTCTTCTGATACCCAAATTGTAGGCATTCTTGTCGGGACCGTGCGTGAACAGTGGCGGTCGAAACGATTCTGAAATGCGACAAAAACTGTTCGATGCATCGAATTGCCCTCCATGATTGATGTTGACTGAACTCAAGCATTCAAACAAATCGCGTAATAAAATCAAAGAAATAAGCGAACAATTAAATGGAATTGTCGAAAGCAAAAGAAAACGCCGAGTAAAAAACAAAAACCAACCAATAGTTGATTGATTTCTTGAGGTGAGGTAAAGATGATAAAAGAAAAGACATGATAATGAGACGGCGAACATTCCAGATACGAAAAGCAGAAACAGAATATGGAATCGACCGAAACCTTCACCCATTTTTAATTCATTCTGAAACCATCCAA